TGTTTCCGATGGTTTTGGTTCTGTTGCAGTTGGAAGAAAAGTGTTTCTGCTTTTGTATTGGTTTGTTTATTTTGTTTTATGTTGAATGCTGCATTTCCCTAATCTTGCTTTTTCTTTTTCCTTTTTGTTGGAGCTGGGGGTCTGGAGAAGGCAGGCTGGCTGTTCCTGTGTGGCAATAGCTCTCTTCTCACCAAAGTGGTGGATTTGCAGTGAATTTCTTTAGTGCGTAAGTGTGGTTTGGTGCACATGATGGTATCTGTTATTACAGGCATTATTGAAGCCTGGCCTCTAGCCTGCCTGACTCCCTATTGGTAAGCCCCAGCTCTTTGTTTGTCTTTTTCTTTTGTGTTTGATAAACTTTATTTCACAGTGCTAGTTGCCTATTTGTGGCTGATCCTTTGATTGCTCTAATGAATGAGACATTTTAATGGATTGACTGTTTAATAAAGATTTATACCTTGTATACCAAGTATCCACGGCTCTGGGTCATCTTATGAAGAATCGAACCTGTGGGCCCTTGGGTCTTTTCCCGGGTAGTTAATCCCGGGTGGCTTAGTCGATCCATTTGGAATTAGTGGAGTAAAAAATGTCTTTAACCCTTTATAACACCTCCATCATATGATTAATATATGATTAATGTAAAAACAAAACGTTGAACTACACAATGGACATGATAAAGGGCCCTGACAAAATTTCTTGAGCAAAGCATCTGGCCTCTACCGCTGTCATGCTATCTTTTTTGCCGACTGAATGGTCAACCAGTGCCTCCAGTGCCACATGAACTTCTTCCAAGTGATATCGCAAAAGTTTCACGCTGTCAATACGAGACTCTCAACGAGTGTCTGAGAGGGGTTTGATAGTCAGACTGGTTTTGTGGTCTTTGAGTATGGACCAGCAAGATGTTGAAGAGCTAAAAATGACAAAAAAAACTTCTTCAGCACTCCAAGAAATGACACAGATTGCACAGAAGATTTCGCTGCATCTCAGACAACCAAGTTTAAGCTATGGCTACTACATGGCATGAAAAGTGCTTTTTTGTTCAAATCGAGTATTCATTTTTGAACTCCCTGTTTTTTTCCTTTCATATTACTCTCGTTGTCGTAGCTTTGCCCTCTACAATCATTAATATCTAAGCCCAACATCTCCAGATGGCGTAGGGAAGTGTTACACAGTGCTTCGCCTGTTGTGGGCTCGACTGGGAGAAATCCAGTTAAGTGTTCTGTTATTGAAACATCAGATGTCTCGCAAGCCTCACTATGCCGTATAACTGACATACGTGAGAAACATCAGGCGTACAGTCCACGATCACGGCAAAATATTTTGCATCATTAACTTTTTTTTTATGGCCTGAACAATCATCCATCCGATCTGTTCAATTTAGTTTGAATGTCCTTGCATTCAGTGGTGTCGTGTTATGTCATGTCTCTGAATTCTTCGCAAGTGCTCATTCATTACTGGTCATATAAGCAACTCCACTTGCGGGAACACAATGTCCATAATCTTCTCTGGCCCTCTTCTTACTAGCTCAGTTCTGACACAATCTGATATTCTCTGGGCCCATAATGCTGGGTCGTCTGATATCGTAATGAACTCGGTAGACCCAGCTCCACGCAGTGCCCCCTCGTTGTCAGTGGGTAGTGCAGACTCTTGCGGGGTTCTGTCTCCTCATTTATGCTGGCGAACACTACGGACTCGTTCACTGATTCTGTGCTATCTTCGGACTAATACCTTCCTCGTCGTCGACCTTCGTCTTTCCATCCCTCTGCTCTTTAGTCACTGCTGCACCTGCACTAGAACTAGCTAGACTAAGGTTAGCTTCTGGAGCATCGAAACCTTCCGGGAAAAAGTTTGTTAATTTTGGACAGCTTTCTAAGCTTTTCCATTTTGCCTTTGCACGCCTTCTATATTCAGCACCACTAGGCTTTGAACGTCTCATTGCGATCACCCGTTACCACCTGCTCAGAATATGAAAATCAAATTCACTGATTTTAGCAAAGCCATCCTTCAATTATTAAATGATCGCGCTCGTCATGGTGTCTGGCGCCCTGGCAATTGCCCAGTTTGCCCAGCGCTTCCGCCGGCCCTGCTGATCGGATTGGGGGCACAGAAAACTTTATCGTGACATCCCTATTTTAGACATGTTTGAATTTTTTTTTTTTTTTTGAAAGCACTATAGTTTGTACATCTTTTGACTAGACATGATATAATGTAAATGTAATCACCGGCGTAGGCCCTATAAAGAGTGGACTTAACACCGGTTTCCTCACAATTAAACATCAACTGGTTCAGTACTAAAAGCATGTTTATAAAATGCAAAACATAACTTTTGTAAAGTAATAAATGTTTACTGCCTGGGTCATGCAGGGAGCTTGTGCTGGATATAGATAGCTGGTACTGCTTTACGTTTCATCATGCTGTAGTGTGCACTTTTGCCGAGCAGGACTGAAGCGAGCGCCGCAGCAGACTTCTACCCGACAATCAAAGCGCCATTACGGCAAGAAAGTGCGGACTCGTAGGAAGACCGCAAGTGTTTAGTGTGCCATTTGGGACAGGATAGGATTACAATACAAATGTAGCATAAGCATGAACTGACTGCAACCGCAGTCTAACAAGCTTTTTTTAATTGTAAACTTTAAAAAAACTGCAACCGCAGTCTAACAAGCTACAACCTCAGCAACAATGCCCAGAAATACAGTATTTCTGTCTCCTTGAACTGGAGCTGGCTGCAATACATCCCGTCTAATGAGGTACCTGAACAGGGAACCTGCAGAGATTGTGGCCGTTAACACTGCGCCCTGACAATCACCTCACTATCTACCAGCCCAGGTACTACTGTACAAAATAGTATTATATCACATCGAAATAAAAAGGCAGCTTGACCTGTTGGTGTTTTTGTAAGGTTTATAAATTTTTCAACATTATGAATTTCATCACATGGTTTAGCGAGTTAGGTAGCCTGTTAGCCATCTCGAGTAGCGGTTAAACTAACATTAAATTTAAACTTACCTTTTTAGTAAGATGTGTATGTGCCAAGCAGGGTGGGGCTGAGAGCCGTGGGAACGGGCGAGAGAGGACCAGGCCCTCACCAGGCCTGGACTTGGACTTGTTTATGTTTGTGTGGCAGTCGTCTGTTTTGATGTTTGTTAATCTTATGATTAAAGTGTGTGAAATGCCTCTCTCCCTGAACATTTAACCGTGTTACAATGTAGTTTTCATAGAATAATTTATAACCCTTCTCAAGATTATCTTTGTTTGATGATTTTTGACAAGGGAGATTGCGAAGCGATGTAGTAAACCTTCGTTTGTCCATTGCTGCTGCAGAGCGGAAATTCCTTACGCTACTAATCCCATTAGGATGTGACGACATGTGGATAAATGTGATAAAGGCCTATTCCTGCATTATAATTGTCATGATTCCTATCTTGTGTTCTCCTTGTCTTCAAAACTTTAACTGATTTATTCCACTGTTTGTTTGCCCAAAATGATGATGAAAGTCTGTAAGTAATCGTGCTTAACACTAGGTTCATTTGCCTAGCTCGAGGTGTTTTGCTTCATCCAGGAAAAATCTCTAGTTTCTTTTTTTTTTTTGAATAAATAATTTATTTTAGAATAAATTTTTTTTTGTAGAAATAGTAGATAATTTACCAAAGTAATTAATTAATTGACTTCTAGCAAACAATTTTCGACCACTTACAAATGCTGCACAATTTTTCTTAGGAACTAAAGCTTTTCAATTTAGTGTGACGACTGAGGACACTTTGCAATACATGAGCAATTTCTATAAAAACTGCTATAGGCTATTTGTTTATCGATAATGTGAATTACTAATATTGGATATTGAGTAAAATCCATCTAATGCTGTCTATTGACTTGCATGTTATCCTCATTAACCAACTTTGTTAACAAACAAAACTCATTAACAACCCAACCCTCCCCCCCCCGGACGGGATGTGAGGGACAGAAAGCTCTCAGATTTCATCAAAAATATCTTCATATGAGTTCCGAAGATGAACGAAAGTCTTACACGTTTGGAACGACATGATTAATGACAGAATTACAATTTTTGGGTGAACTATCCCTTTAACACTAAGCTGTTTTAAACACTTTCCATGATCTGTTTGATATTGTTCTGTTTTAAGAATGATTTTTATTAACATAGTTCAGTTTAGGGCATAACTAAGCTTTTCTCAAGCACGTCTTGTAATTAGTTTATTATGGTTCTATTTTAAGAATATATTAATTGTTTTTATGTGGCTCATTTTAGGGCATAACCACTAAACTGTAATAAAGCATTAGCCATACGGTTTCTATAATAAATAGTTGTATTTCTTTTTTATAAATATATTAGTGGCACAGTTTGGGCATAAAGTGTTCAGTGCAGTACAAAATACTTTGTAAAAAGGCAGTTTGTATTGTTAATGGAATGGGTCTTTTAAAGTTTCAGTAAATTAAATTACATTAGAAACTTAGCAAATAATTTCTCAAAGGTACATTTTTGGAATGAGGAAAATACTGTCAGTGTATAAACTGGATGAATGTTAATAAATATTTCTAAAGCAATTTGAACTCCGTTTGAATCAGAACTCCTGCCATGAAAGCCTTTCTTTTTGCAGTTTTAATTTCTTGCAACTGCCCTTTCCTCTACGTTGTATCTTGAGTTAATCTTTTTAAAATCCAAAATGCCTTTCTCTAATTGCCACTGTACATTCTTCAGACCACCATGGTACATTTTTTTAATTCTTTTTCCATTGTCATTAAAGAAATCTATATTGCTGCAAAACAATAGTTCCTTGTACTATTTTATTATACACTATTAAACACTTCCTTCCAAATTTATATTGACTTTTTCTTCACACAACATAAAATCCCATTTTGCACACCAATTTTTCTTTCCATTTGACACGTTATGTTATATACCATAGACATAACAGTATTTATTAAGTCTATGCCATGCACTGTAAAAAAGAACCCGAAACAACAGGGCTTGCCGCCATCTTGGAAGTGACGTCATATGACCAAATGACGCGCCTCGCTGAGGTCGGGGTTGATCGATCTGTCCCGAGTTCACATGTTGGATGTCCGAATTCTAGAGGCGTTCCAGGCGTTATTCCCAAGTAGGATATGGGAAACATCCAAATTCCCAGTTGTCTGCAGCATTAGCTGCATCGCTCTACCTACGTCATCGTCACGTCTCGGGTGTTGCGTGGAGAAGTGGGCTAGCTTTAGCAGCGTTAGCTGTATAACGGTGATGGCGGAGAGTGAGGATTTCTAAAACGTCAACGGAGATCGACATTCATGAGAGGCGTTTATTAATAGTGAGGTGAGTGAATGTTTTCTTATGTACAATGAGTGCGTTGTGTTGATCGCTTATGGCGTGAATGATGAATGTGTGAATGCGATTGAGTGAAAGACAGATCAGCAGGGAGAGAGACCACGACCCTCTTAGTCCTGCTGTAATCTTCTATATGTTTATGTATATATATATATGTGTGTGTGTGTGTGTGTGTGTGTGTGTGTGTGTGTGTGTGTGTTCAGAGGCAGATGAATCAGGCTTTGATATTGTTATCATGCCTTTTGATCCATTAGCCTATATGTATGATCTTTAAAAGTACATTACATATATATATACTTTGTACTGCACTGTAACATATCACACTGACTGAAGTAACGTTATGATGATTTAAAATAAACATGTATTTAAAAAGTTCTTCTTTTGACAAAATTACCTTTCTTTAATAGCCAAAACAGATTCAGTATTTCAGTATTTCATTACATCACTGTTGGAAAACACTCTTGTCAGAATTTTTTTTTTTTACCTTTTATAAAGGGCATTTTTTCCCTAATGTTATTTAATATATCCTCCATCTTTCGTTTTAAATTCTCAACTTGGTCAATGCATTCAATTAGAATAATGAGACACTATAGGGCTGTTAACAATCAAATTAAATCATTTACATTGAAAAATTACAACTGTATTAAATGAGATTATGAGATCGTTTTAAATATTTTTTGATACAAATAAGGAATGTTGAAAGAATGATACTTTGACACTAATCCGCCAGTAGGTGGCGGCAGGCGCCCGTCTTAATGAGCGAGTCATTGAGTCATTCATTCAAACGGTTCGTTCAACCGGCTGGTTTATTCAGAATGAGGCAGTTTATGAATGGGTAATTGAATCTTTGACTCAACTGATTCGTTGAAAACGATAAATCATTCGTGTTACTAGTGTTCCTGTGAGATGAGTTATGGTTCTGCTGTGATCTTTGTTTGGAACTATTTTCGCTGCTGAAACAGAACAAAAACAGTCATGCGTCTAAAATATAAGTGACTTCATTTTAACTATTTGTTTATTGAACTGTTATGAAATTAGTGTATGTTTCAAATATTTTTATTAGAGCACATATTCATATCGTTATAATATCTACATCATACACAGGAGTATAATGTAACCACTTAGAAATGTGTGCAGTTAGGACATATACAGTCCTCTTTTGTTTTTAGAACATACAACAATGTCAAAAAATAAAATAAAAAAACAAAATAAAAACAGAATCAACAGATAAACATAAGCCCCTTTCACACAGAGATTCCGGAAAATAAACGGATAAACCGACCCGGGATTTGACCCGGGTTCGTTTGATTTTGCTTCATTCACACTGCCAGTGATTTGCCGGAATCAGAGAGCGCGTTCACACACAACCCGTGTATGTTCCGGAAAGACACGTGACATCGATCTGACATGTAATGTCTCAGCAACGTGTATAGTTTGCTTATGAGCTGCGATTTCTCTCTGGAGAAACCACGCTTGTGCATGGAAAGGCGCAGCAGTCACTAGAGCAGTGCCCAGGCTACAGATTCGAGGAGTGCACGTTCGCAACGGGGAAAGCTGGACAACAACAGTTCATATATCAATATCGTAACGAATAGAAATAAACTTAAATAATGTATAGTTATCTGCATCTTTCCGTCTCTTATGTATAGTTTTTAAACACGCAAACAGTTTGCCGCCCGTGGTAATGTGCAACCTGCTTGTTAAAGTGAATGTATAATCCTGTAGCCTATCTGAGGCAAAATTACTAAATATGCATCGCGAGTTATATATTTCTAACTCCAAACAATTGGCCACCGAACCAGCTGATAAAATCTTCCTTTGATTCGATACGTGATTACAACTTGACACTCAAATTTACCGATCGCATTTTACTAATGCAGAAGACGCGCACTGAGGGAGCGCGGTGTTCACCGGCTATGGTCAAATAATGACGCAGTACAAGGTGTGTATCATTTAAACTAGGCTAGTACTTTGTCAACACTAACAGTAGCTGCTATTTGGTTTTCAAACTGCTGCTCTCCTTAGTCCTTCTAGTCACTTCTGAACTTCTATTGATTAAAGCGCAGTGTGACGGGTTTGCTAGATATCACAAAAAGAGCAAAACAAGCCCCTTAAAAACGCAGTGTAGCCTAAGCAGACATGGCAAAAATGTACCGGGGAACACATTTAAACATAACTAGTATTACTATCCTACTAAATTAAAAGGAAATAACTAATTTATTATTAATAGAATAGTTCAATATAAAGTATTCAGATATTATAGACTGATTGATGAAGTAAAGCATAACATGAGATTGAAAAATTATTCAGAAACCCTTTATTAAAAGTTTAATTGCACCTATGAGTTGTATTTAACATTAATCAGTTGGGGGAAGTTCATCTAAAAGTTGATGAGTGTGTTTTGTTTATATTTAGCTATCTAAATAGTTTACCAAATAAGAGAAACAGAAAACAATGTGAAGTACTTTTCATTTCTAAAGTATTTGGGTTTATTTATTATACAAAGCCCTTTTTGTCGATTTTTCGAGAATAACTACATATATAAATAACTATATCGTGAAATATATCGTTACCGTGAAATAAAATTTTGGTCATACCGCCCACCCCTAGATCCCGGCATCAGTCCCGGGTCGTGTTTGCGTTCACACAGAAGGCACTCTGGCAATTTGCCGGGTTCAAAGCGCTGTGTGAAAAGGGGCTATAGAGTACAGAAAAAAAAAAGAAAAACCTAAATAATCCCTCTTTCATACCCAGCCTAATCCTTCCGTCTAAATATTACTTTATTATAGTTAGAGGGAAACATTAATTTCCACTGCCAGGAGAGAGATAGTGAATGAGAGGTGACCACACTTTTTCAAAGTGTGGGAGTTTATCCATAAGAATATATTTGATTCTCTCTAAGTAGAGAGTGTTAGTAAGATCACTGAGCCATAACTTTGTGGTGGGTGTTTCTTTATTTTTCCAATGCATGAGAAGTAGCTTCTTTGCGGTGATGAGACTATAGGACAGGAGGGATTGTTGATAGTTGTTTAACCTTTTAATATCCTCTGAAATTCCTAAAATAATGATGAGAGGATTAGGCTCCAATTGTATTTTAAGTATCTGAAGATTACTGAAGATATTAAACCAAAAGATCTTAACCTTGGGACACGGAACGAAGCTGTGAAGCAACGTGTCTTCTGCAACAAGGCATCTGTCGCATAGAGGGGATATCTCAGGGTATATTTTGTGTAATCTCTCTTTAGAAAAGTGAAGACGAAGTAGAATCTTAAAGTGAATTAGACAGTGCCTAGCATTATTGGAACATCGATGAGTATGTTCCAAACTCTTTTCCCATAGAGGGTCTGGGATCACAATACCCATTTCTTCCTCCCATTTTGTTTTTATTGAAGTGGAGATCACTGGGCTGATAGACTGCAAAGTGTCATAAATATAAGATATCGATTTTTCTAAGCATGACATGGGTCGGAGGCATCGATCAAGACAAGAGCCTGAGAAGATCTCAAAATTTTGCAAGTATCTAAAGAAACTACTACCCGGTATATTATATTTACTCTGTAATTGTGCAAAGGATGCAAAAATGCCAGTAATGTATAGCTCTCCTATCGTATGATTGCCTCTGTTCATCCAGAGATTAAAAGTATTATCAAGAATGGAAGGAGGAAACGTAGGGTTTCCAGTGATAGGTAATGCATAAAATATGGGTTTCAACTTAAAGTGTGATTTGATTTGTTTCCAAATACGCACTGTACTATGGATCATTACATTGCTATTGTACAAAGACTTCTCAATAGTGTAAGGTGCCAGAAGGATGGCTAGGCTGGCATGCCTCTTGCTCTAATTCGAGCCAGTTTGGTGAGGTAGCAGTGTTATCCAGCCAGTACGTCATAATCTTGATATGTGAGGCCCAGTAATATGATAAAAAATTCGGGAGTGCCAAGCCTCCCTCTATTTTAGATTTGCAGAGGTGTTTCTTGCCTATTCTGTGGGTTTTGTAGTCCCATAAGAAAGGGAGCACAATCGAGTCAATTTTTTTAAAGAAAGATTTGGGGAGAAACACTGGAATGTTCTGAAATAAATATAGTAATTGGGGCAAGAAAATCATTTTGATAGCATTCACTCTGCCAAGTAAAGATATTGGCAAAGTCTTCCAGAACTGTATATTTGATTGTAATTTAGACAGCAGTGGTGGGAAATTCTCCTTAAAGGGATAGTTCACTTTGAAATTAATTTTTGATATGTTTTAGCTTACCTCAAGGGCATCCAAGATGTAGGTGTCTTTGTTTCCGCAGTAGTTTCAATTTTGATATTTTTAGGTCAAACCGTTCTTGTCTGTCAGTCATATAATGCAGGTCTATGGTCACCACCTCAAAGAGCATACACAGAGAAGTCCAAACTAAACATGATTTAATGACTCGTAAATGTAAGTACACATTGATGGCCTAAGACACGAAACGAGCAGTTTGTGTGAGAAAACGAACAGTATTTATATAGTTTTTACCGCTTGTAAACACAGCCACGTCCAAGTGATCTGAGGGCGCGGGCGCTTCGGTCTTTTCCGGAAAGCACCGGAAGTGATCTCTCGCGCGTATACGTCACTCATTGTTTACACAGAACAGAGATTGTAGGTAAGACGGCTAATTAAAAGGGTACTAATTTGCGCTTATCCGGGATGTTTAAACCGTCGTAAAAGAAAACAATTAAAAAAAATTAAAAAATAAAACAATTGTATGAGTGACGTACACGCGCGAGAGATCACTTCCGCCGCTTTCCGGCGCTTTCTCCACCCTTAGAACACTTGGATGTGGCTGTGTTTACAAGAGGTAAAAACGATATAAAAACTGTCTTCGTCTTTTACATTTACGCCCTTGAGGTAAGCTAAAGCATATCAAAAATTTATTTCAAATTGAACTATCCCTTTAAATAGATTAGAGTGGCTTTTTGTAATCTGAATTCCTAAGTATGTGAATTTGTCTGAAGATACACTA